GAAACAATGATATAAGTCAATTTCTAAAAATTGGGAAATAGAAGTCATTAATTAGAAAACGAAAGACAATACCATCTCCGTTTATGTTGTAAACGTCTAATATTCTCCTCGTCGGTTCCCAACTTCGTATTCCACTTTGCCGCCGTTTGAAGGTATTTTGGAGAATTGAAAGTGGAGACACAAAAGGTCCAGTGTGCTCGCCCTTTTTTACTCCACTGTACTACTGCAAGCTCACATTTCCTCGTTCTTATTTTCCTAATTTTTATTACTGCAAAATCTAAAAATATCAATTGCCTGGGAGTATTTGATAGTCAAGATTTTATAAAACAATAAAACATTAATTATTAAATAGAGTTATTCTTCTACAATATTAGGAATTTTAAAAATTTTATCACCAATTTAATAGAACTTTCACCGGTTTGTCAAAAAGGAATATTTTTTCACCCTTTTGGGTTTTTTATTTCAGGAAAGGAAACATTAACTCCACACCGACTCCTCCAGTAAAGAGGCTTGACGGGGACACCCACATGACTCTCTTATTTTTCAACTGTTTCCACTACTCCAGAAATGAAATACTAATAGAAATCACAAAATTAAAATAAGGTTAAATGTTAAATTTGGTCTCTCAATTTTAAGAAATGTACATTTTTGATTTCTCAATAATTTTTTGTACTTTTTTTATCCTTCAACTATAAGAAATGCACTCCGTTAGTTCTTCTATTAATTTGAGTTGTTAACTCTGCTTATGTGATATTTTTTATATTTTTTTTGATGATGTGGAGAGCAAAATTTAGAAAAGTGATGATATGGACAAACATTTTGACATTTCATGTTACTGTGTACCAAATCCACTCAAATGGATCCCACATCACTAATAAAGAAATTTGTCTTTAGATGACATGGCACCAAATCTACTCAAATGAGTCCCACATCACTAATAAAGAAAGATATCTTTTGATGACATGGTGATATTTTTTATATTTTTTTAATAATATAACAAATTAAATTAAATATTTACCTGAATAAAAAGTAATATCAAATCAAATTTTATTAATTAATCATTATTAAACTATAATTATTTATATTAATTAAAATTAAAATTTAAGATTTTTAATTAAAATTTTAAAATTTTAATTAATTAAATTGTTATTAAATCTTTAATTTGTTTTATGATACGAAACAATGATATAAGTCAATTTCTAAAAATTGGGAAATAGAAGTCATTAATTAGAAAACGAAAGACAATACCATCTCCGTTTATGTTGTAAACG